AAAATAACTACCCAGAGAACTTCATCACCAAAATCAACACTGACATTAAGTATGATCGAAAATGTATTCCGACGAAATGGGCCTTATTGGTTGTCATTCTGTGTAGAGCAAAGATGTCAGAGATGATATCAGAAAAGTATTCAATAAGCTCGATATCACAGTTGTCTTAAAAACAACAGACACACTGTGAAGTAACCCTACCCATATAAAAGATCATATCCCCAAAGATTCTCGATCTAATTTTATCGATAAAATAAAATACTGGGGATGTGATGGAATATACATTGGACAAACATCGCTGGAGAGTAATCAAAATCAGAAGAAATGAACACCGTAGCGCATCTGTTCGACCAACGAGAAATCCAGTTGAACTAGAAAGCTTGAAAAATCATCAACCAGCCATAGGTCTACATGCCATAGAATCAGGCCACAAAATTGATTTTGCCAATATTGAAATCATCATCCAGAAAAAGCATTTCAGAAGTCTTAAAGAACGTCTAATATCATCAGAAGCACTTCACATCCAATGGAATCCAAATTGTCTGAATAGGAATGATGAACTAAATCAAAATTTGACCTGATTACAACACCTCCCTCCACCATGAAGTGAAAAAATAAACATGTAAGTGACAGATTGGCAATTTCATCATGTAAATACACACTGCTTTTATAATTCTACACACCTGTCAAATCCAAAAATCTACACCTGGCTCTGCGCGTCGGTGGCATAGCGGTTAAGACGCTCGCCGATCATGCACATGGTCTGGGGTTGATCCCCGGTTGACGCACTCTTTGCCTCACTAAGCCAGAAATAATACTGGTAAAGAGGAAAGTTGGGCATGAGGCTAGCAACCCCCATCCTGTAAAATAAACATTGCTACAGAAACTTCAAGCTACTAGCTTGAAGCCCTATGTTCTGGGGAACGTGAAGGAAAGAAAACACCTGGTTTTGTTATCTATACCAGTTATCCAGTTTAACAACGCCGAGAATGACCTCATGGTAAGGAGCGATGATTCAGTTGTTAGATATAAGTCGAAATTTTGTAAACTGTGGATTCATAATACTTTGATAAAGCTATTAGCAGCAGCATTAACTGTTGAAACGTCAGTAAAAACAATATCGTTTTGTTTTTCATTCATTATTGGGAAATACAAAAAGCCTTTAATATACTACATAAACTTAATTCATATGGAATTAGACTGCAGAACATTGCCCAAGTTCTTTATTTACATTACTAATACTGCTTCAGTTATACAGTGTGTCCATAGGCTAAAGTGTATTGAAATAATGTAGATTTACAGTTCATGTAGGTGTTTTTTGCATTTTGTTTTGTCCTTTGGGCTTCGTGAAGCTTCCCATATGCCTCTGGATAAAATCCAGCCCAGAGAGTGAAATATCTTAGACTGGAGCAATCATGAGAATATCAATGAATTACAGTGCATGTTCACGTATCATTTTTCATCTTCCAAAGATATTCAACCGTCGAATAAGTATTTGAAACTAAACCTCTTGAGTAAATTTGGTATTTAAACTGTTCCTAGAGGTGAAATTTCACCACAGTTGTCTATGAGAATTAAAATTATTTTGATCACAATACGTGTTCTAATTGGCACCTTAAATAGCACTCAAAAAAGCAAACATCGATAAACACCTCTGCATACTGCTGATTGATTTATACGAGTAGCTGTGATGCCACTCACATGAATCACAAGTGCGGTTTTGGTCGTTTTAGGCCGAGTTCTTCATTGGTCCAAGTAGCTAGACAGAATTCAGATGGTTTAAAACGACTGAGTTTTCTAATATGCTGAGCTTGACCTCGATCAGCGAAATGCCTATCCGGTGTTTGTATCACTTCGATTTGACCAGGTAACCGACTACTTATATCAGTCAATGAGTAGTATACATAATCATGTGACTTCTTAAATACTTTGAATCAGAATATAGCCGGTCTCAAATCATTTTACAATTTAATGTGGAAATCTGAGTCTGAAGAGAAAAACACAGAGAAAGTGAACATCTCTACGAACAAAACTCTACGAAAGACTACCAGCGGCGCTAGCTGATCTACAAGAGCAAGTGATTACTAGGCTTTATCCAAAATGTTATGAGAATGAATTAATCCCGGAGTCCCTTTATTGGTACACCAACTTCTTAATTTGAACTTCTTTTTTCAGATCTATTCATGTAGAACCCATTTAATAGCTACTACCTTTATGTGGTGGTTGGGATTTGCAAGTCGCAGTGATCCATTGAGGTACGGTGACTGGAATGAATGTTTCTGCAGATCTTGCAACTCCCGGAGTACCGTTAGACTAAAGGACTTCATTAGTAACGGTTAAATCGCATACGCTGAATTGGAGGTTTCAAGGCAAAGTCGTACTGCTATTGTGTAAGGGTGTAGCGGCAGTAATGGTTTTCTGTCAGCCGACCAGCAAGCCAGAGGTGGTGACTTTTCACTCTGGGGAAAAGCGGAGGTTAGAAAAGTTTGATCCCGAAAATTGAACATCTACAATCACTTATTTCCGATTCATAGTTGGCTGTAGGACCTTAATACGGACAAAACTATTTAAATCACTTCGGACAAGCAATGCATGACTATCCTCAGACAGTTTTAGCCTGCGTTCTACGGTCACACAATACTGATTCTTTGCTTCTTACAGATGTTTCTAGGAGAAATCAATTTCTACTGTATGGGCAGCAGAGGAGTAATAGCTGGCAGCCCACTTCCATCAACACAGTGAACTACGACAAGGGTTGCGCATTGTTAGTTTGTGGTGAGGCTATCTGAGGTATTCCGGGTTGACTGACTGAAATAATTCTAGTGAGTGATGACCGAAAATGAAAGGAATGCTATTTCGTAGGGAAATTCGAACAAATGGACTCTAAATAGCCAATCCCTACTGTTAACTAACAGCGAAACTATCTGATAGACTTGTAGACGACGGTTAATGTGAAGGGAGATTGTAGTAGCATTTCTAACTAGAAGCCTTCAGACTGCTAGTGTGGGGTTATACCATCTGTATTTCTGCGTAGCGTTTCAAATAAAGTATTGTATTATGTAAATTTATTCTTTACCTAACTAGAAACGTTTTAATCTAATTACATAAACAACCACTATAAAACATATTAAGTTATTTGATAATTTTAAAATTTCACAATCAATAATTACCAGGGTAACCATGAATTGTAAGTTTTTTCTTCTTAAATATTAATTCAATGTTAATTTGTCTGTCATTTCCAGTGTATTGTTTGAACTTAAAGCAGAATGTTTAATAATACGAGCGATATTCTGACTTCCTTATCAGATAGTAAATTCTTAGACATGAATTCTTCTCATTTAAAATAACTGATCAATAAGACTGATTGGAGCTATCAGATAGAACAAGGGTCGTATCTTTCAGTCCATTTTTCCATTTATCAGCTGTAAACTTAAGTAAGTCGTGATGATAGATAAATTCTCGGACTGTGGATGTCGGAAAGTTTCCCTTTTTCAGGAATCAATCAAGTGAGTGAATTCTCGACGGACTTGATACTTATCCGATATATTATGCAATAGAGTCGTTAGTGAGCTTCACAGATCTGATTAAATACGAAGTGATAATCTAAGATTGTAAATTATTTTCAGGTTTTGGAAAGAAAATAGATTCTTTACATGGAACCACTCTATAGGAGAAACTAACACACAGCATGACTTATTTACTTCCTTGTACATTTCAGTTAGCTGAGACACTTGACTTTTGAGTTATGTTCAGACTATTTTGGAGAAATATTTTGCAAATCACAGCTATCAGTTAAGGAATCGACAGTGTGTAAGATAAGTGACACTTAATGATATAACATTATTGAAGTGGTTTTATAATATGCAAAGTGGCATTGACTTCTTATTTGTTGGCTAGTGGTAGACAGCAGAACCAGATGAAATTCCCCGTGAAACACTGAAGCAGACCCAGAGACTGCAGCGGAATGTTCATGCTACTTTTGCAAAACGTTTGGAAGTGTTGGAAAGTACCTACTGATTAGAACAAAAGCTAGCTTATGTTTCGCCCTTCCGAGGACTCAACAGCCGAGTATACGAGCGCTGTAATGGCGTTCCTCCTGATACTCGAATATAGTATCCGTCATCGCCAGCCTAATGGATGGTGCTTCGGTATTTGTAGCTATGGGTAGTATGTTTGAGCCTTAGTCGAAGTAACATTGGTAGCTGGAGGGCAGGTTTAACCAGCTGACGAACTTCAAAAAGGATGAAATACAATCCTTAAATTCCCCTACTAATCCCCACTGAACTACATACTTTGGGTATAGATTTGTGGAGACATCTACTCAGGCAACTACTACTACTTATCATAGAAATTGTCAAGTAACTTTAAAGTTTTGACGGTCTCTGTATTGTAGGATCGAGGTGTCATTCCCGGAAGTCGAAGTATGACGAATGTAACAGAAAGATCATGATATGTTATTTGGTATTTCGCCGAAATAATTTTAAAATAACAGTTCTACAAGATTGGAAATACAATCCCTTCAGGTTTCAACTAAAATTAGTCAGGTTTGATGGTGAATTGATTTGAATTATTGAACCATAAAAAGCTAATGATTACTGGGTTACCGCTTCGCCCTGATTGAGGCTCTTCATCAGTAAGCACCTATTAACCCACGAGGAAATGAACAATGGACCCTCAGGTCAATCAATTCTAACTTCTGTCTTGCAACCTAAAGGTCCTGCATTCAATCCACTATAAGATAATGTTTGCGTTGATGAGAGTCTCAAGCAAAGACGAAACAGCTATGCAGTACTTTCACGCTCTCTAAATGAGGTCATTTCATGATTAAGCTTAAACTGATCAAACCCCTGAAACCTAATACTCTGAAATAATAAACTGTCAAGTTATCAATGATAAAAGCTAAGAGAGAGAGTGTGTATTTTCTAAATTTCTGACCGGTAAAACATTAACACACCAGCATAGTTTAGCGGGAAGCAAGACAGCAAGAAAGATCAACTAACCTTGTTTCAGTTAATATTCCAATATGAATAAGCATTAACAATACGGTTAACTGGTTAAACTCCAGGCTCTGGGACATAATGCGTTGTTTATCGAATAGTGTACGGTTTTATATTGTGACCTACTTCGATAAATTTTAAATTTATATATACATATATATGTAATTAAGTTTTTGGATAACTGGGGACAGTTGTATCATAACAGAACGCTTTGGACATATTTTTCGACACGTGATCGCACATAAGCAGGTAGGTAGATAGGTTGGCTTGAGATATTATCAACTTGTTTCTCATGTATTTGGTATACAACTTGTTTGCAGAGTGATAAAAACAGATATATACATGACTGTTAGTGTAAACATACTTAAGTGTTTACAGGATACAATGGAATATTTTGTTGATTTATGATTACATTTCGGACTAGTACTACTACTACTACGCAGTCAACTAATCGATCAGTAGTAATTTAGCATTGTCAAATTGACAAACTTACCTAACCTCTAATAGTCAGCTGTTACTTTTGTCTCAACTTTGTATTATTAATATTATATCCTTTAATTCCTAGAGGAACATAGGGATTCAGCCGCGCGTCTCCATTGCCTCTGTTTTTTGCCAACTTTTTCACTCCGCTCCAAGTCTGCCCACATGCTTTCATCTCCTCCTCACATGACCTCCTCCAAGTCACCCTCACATTGACGACCAACTCGCCGCTTCACTTTCGGGTTCCACTCGAGCGATGGCTTGTCTAGTGATGTCACTTGATGGTTTCCTCAGCATATGGCCAGCCAATCCATCTCCATTTCTTCCTGCCTATTTGTTTCACAATCGGTTCCTGGTTGGTTCGCTCCCAGAGATCTTTGTTGCTGATCTTTTCTGGCCAGCCATCTGATCTTGAGTATTGAGCGAAGACAACTGTTGATGAAGGTCTGTAGTTTGTTTGAGATAATCTTTATGACTCGCCAAGTCTCCGATCCATAAAGTAGCACTGTACTGTATGCGAAAAATTTCCATTTCATAACGATAGTCCGTCTTGTCTCGTGTAAATAAGAATCATCATTTTCATGAGGGATTTCGTCATGATTTCAAATCAATTAGTTACAGAACTGTCAGAAAGCAAAAGGAAATGGATAGCTAGTTTGGAAGGTTTTCTGGTGTACTTATGAATAATCGCATTGGGAATCGGATTCGGGATATTTGAGTTGCAAGGCAAGCAAGCGCTTGACAATTCAATCAGGGGTCAGAATCCTGCGGCCCATAAACTCTTGCCAGAATCAGTTAATTTATGATGGTCATGCACCACTATTCTATGCTATCAAAGAGAGACAAATGAATAGAGCTTATTCCGTGGATAAGAGTTAAATCCTTCTTGTTGACAGTTTATCAAACCTAAATTGAATGATTTTCAAGGGTTCGTTTGTAGGAATTTGATTTTTTAAAAGTTTGATCATGTATTGATATCAGTTAGAGAAGCATTGAAAACCAGAGCTAAAATCACCAACTTGTAGAAGTTAGAATTCATGTGCTTGCCATTGAGTTAGGTCCCGATGGTTTTCTTCTTCTTTATCGGGTAGAAAACAACTCACCGTTTTGAATGGAAAGCACTAGACTTCGTTGCTAATGGAGACTGGCGTGCCTGAAGGTGCTGTACTCTCTCTTTATTCCTTTTTTCTCTATATATTTTCATGACCTTACCAATATTCTTACAAAGCTAACTTCATTAAATATGCTGATTATCTAACCATTTCTCAAGTATTGGTTTTGTAGGGATTTTGTTTGATTGCATGAAGGCTCTTCATCAGTACACACCAATTCATTCACGAGAGAATGAACTAGGGACTGTTAGGTGATGAAATCCTCCATGCAATCAAACACAAAATCCCTACAAAACAATACTTGAAAATTAATCTGATGCTTACTAGCGACTGGTCCTATTTAGGCAGTTAACCTGCCGTTCTGTGGGAAGCCGTGACCAGTAGTGTACAGCAGGTTGAAGATGAGGCGGTATTTCGCCGAAAAAGACATTGCGAAATGCTTGTGCTATGTCATGAGTTGGCAGAAGTTAGAATTCAAAGACCATTGGATCAGATCCCAATGGCTTAATGGTCTACGAGCTGGCCTTGTAACCAAAAGGTCCTGGGTTCGAACTCTGGGGTGCGTCCTGATGAAGAGTCCCGAACTAGGACGAAACAGCTGTCCAGTACTCCCTGGTTTTCTAGTGATTCTCTAACTGATGTCAGCTCATGATGAAATCCTCCATGCAATCTAACCATTTCTCACGTAGTACTTTCTGCTTTGATCTGTTCTTATATGAATAGACTCTTATCTGAGGTTAACAAATCGTCTCACCTTAATCGTCTCAAATTGAATCCATATAAATGTCGCATTGTTAATTTTAGTCTCAGATGTGAACGAAACTCGCGTGGTCTGACTCGGTAAAGGCAGTTGGATAGGGAGTAAGTCGAATATCTCTTATCTCGGCGGTAGGTGCTCTTTGAATCTCTGTTGGTTGTCTCATATTCTGTTGATTGATTTCTAAGAAACATTTTTGTTCTGCTAATTACATAAGGAAGTTGAAACTTTCTGCTAGCATAACTCAACCTCTTCACTTCTCTTACAATTGATTTATTCATGTATTCTACCTTTCCCATGTGGTGTTTGCCATTATTCTTCCCTGGACTTCTCACAAAAGGACTATGTCATATTATGCAGAACACTCAAGATTGTAATTAGGTTTGTTGCTGTGCCTTTGACTCGGCTAACTGATATTATTGTCAAAAGTTTCTCCAATTCATGCAAGTCATTAGCTAAAGTCATCTTTTCTCGTGTTGCATATCCTCTTTATTATTCTGAAATTTCTGCTTGTATCTCTTCAGGAGCAGGGGGGGGAATTGTGTGGGTTAACCAGAAGAAACTTCATAAGAATTTATGCTTGTACAACTAAATATAAAAATTCTATCATATCACCATATTTAGTACGGGTTTCAGGTGAAGACTCAAATTTAAAAATCCGATAAACTTTTCAAATCATTGACTGGACTGTAAAGTATAAGCAGAGAGTATTATCGCATGTATTATCCATAATGATACTATCTGCTTATACTCCATTATGTTTCCGACAATATTCTGTTTATAGTGGTTTCTTTATTAATGTTATCATTAATATTTTTCAATTATACGTATATATATATTCTTATAAAACGAGCCAAGTTGTTGCTATATGCATAAAAACGTAGAAAATTGCATTCTGTATAATTATTATTGACGTTTGAAATAAAGTGTTGATTATGATGAGTCGTTTGAGAGCTTCCTTGTGACCTGAAGGTTTCGGGGTCGAAACCCAAGGTTTGAATCCATCGCCATTTGTGTAAAACGTTTAATCGTTACTCAGCTGTCTATAAAATGACAAGTGGTGCTCATTCATGAAGTTGATATATTAAAAGGAGTTGAAACATCCTGGAGAGAGACAGAGAAACAGAGTTGAAAGGTCCTCAATTTTAACCCAAACCAGACTAACGAAACAGCTGTCCAGTATTCCATGTTAGTTTCCAATGATTCTCTAAGACAAGGCTGTCTACTATCGCCAATGATTTTCCTGATCGCGGTAGATTGGGTAGTGTGACAGACAGCGGGCAGCGAGGAAAATCTTGGAGGATCTGGACTTCAACGATGATAAATGTCTGATTTCCCAAAAACTGGAAGATTTGCAAGCGAAAAGCAACAAGTTGGCACAAGAAGCATCAAAGTTAAGAATACAGGTGAACATCGAGAAAACAGAGGTGATGAAGATTCCTGGGCAACACCAACAGCCCCAACAACAACAACAGACAACAATGGGAGAAACCTGAAAGAAGCAACCTCCCTTACCTACCTACCAACCTACTTTGGGAGCATCGTTTCAACTACAGGCGGACGGAACTGATGAGGATATCAAAGCAAAAACCGGAAAAGAAAAACAAGCCATCACTCAAGTCTGTACGGAGATCAACATCACTCAGCATAAAAATGAAAATAAGACCCGGATGTTCAACTCTAATGTGAAGTCAGTGTTACGCTACGGATCACAGACTTGTCATGTCATAAGCGCACTTCGAACAAACTACAGACCTTCATGAAGAGCTGTCTTCACTCAATACTCATGATCAGATGGCCTGCCAGAAATGATCAGCAACAGGGATCTCAGGGAGCTAACAAACCCAGCAGGAAATAACTGTGCAAAAAATATACAGGAGGAAAGGGAGGTGGACTGGCTATACTATGAGAAAACCATCAAGTGACATCACTAGACAAGCCATCCCTCGAGTAGAACCCGAATGAAAAGTGGCATGTTGGTCGTCCAAGGGTGACTTGAAGGGATCATGTGAACAGGAGATGGGCAGACCTGGAGCCAGGTGAAAACTTTAGCAGAGAACCGAATGCAACGGAGACGTGCAGCTGAAGCCCTATAATTCTCCAACTGACATTAATCTGTGATCTTACCAAACTGACTGGTTAGCCTGTTCGCTACTTGGTTAATACTCTTATGCTATTCATTTTGAGGCTGATTAGAGAAAGCATAACATTCACTTTAATAAAATGGTATAGCCAACTAACTTATCTTGAGTGACAGTGAAACGTGTACCACGTATTGTACTTTAATAAAAAAAATAATAATAAAACATAATCTATGTCACGTATGACACCAAAACGTAAAACATAAACATAACAGAGCATGTAATCCAATTTTTGTCGGGTGATTTTAGTTATTTCATCAACTTCAAGTTTACTGACTTCGTGTCACTGATGAATATAAATTGTGTTTTTGTCAGCATTTTGTTTGATATTTCTACTGATTAGTCAAGGCAGACATGTGTCTAAAATTTGATTATTTCATATTTTAATTCTTATAAAAACGTGTTATTATCCTCACTAGTTAGTTTATAGGGAATTGAGCTTATTCTTGCATGATTACGACGTGACACCAGTCACTGAACCAATAGAAAACCAAAGGGTACTGGATATCAGCTTCGTCCTGGTTTGCAAGTCTTCAGCAGTATGCTCTCGCTGCAGTCTGAACCCAAGGGATTCTGGCTAAAAACAAGCT